TGTCCCAAAAATAAATAAAAACGTTGAAAAAAAAATGTTTAAAATAAAAACAATTTTTTTAATGCTTATTTATTTTTGAAAGAGAGAGCGTGCACGCGCGCGCGCACTAGTGGGGGAGGGGCAGAGAGAGAGGGAGACACAGAATCGGAAGCAGGCTCCAGGGTCTGAGCTGTCAGCATAGAGCCCGACATGGGGCTTGAACTCACAAACAGTGAGAAAATGACCTGAGCTGAAGTCCGACGTTCAACCGACTGAGCCACCCAGGAGCCCCAAGTCTTATAACCTTCTATTTATTCCATTGGCTATTCCATTTGCTGTACTTCTCACAAATCTTCCTCTTTCACACCTTTATCTCTTCCTCCAGTTTCATATAAAACTCTTTTCACAGTAGTCATCATGAATTTATATCAAGTCTATAAATTTGAATAAGTGCATAATCATACATATAATGAGATGAGACTTTGGGGGGACCCTGGTAGGGAGGGGTGTATTTTGCAAGTGAAAGGATGTGAATCATTGGGGCTCAGCAGAAGGACCGTACCAAACAGCTTCTGATCAGGCTCCCAATGCTCCCCACCTTCTAGTATCCAGGCCCCTATGTCATTCCCTTCCTTTGAGTGTGAGCTGGACCTAGTGACTTGTGTCTTACAAATGGCCGTATGACAGAAGTGACAGAACATCACTTCTGAGATTATATCACAAACAGACTCTGGCTTCCAACTTCCTAGCTATCGCTTGCTCTCATTTCAAAAGCCAGCTGACATTTTTAAAAAATGTTTATTTACTTTTGAGAGAGAGAGAGATAGAGAGAATGCAAGTTGGCGAAGGGCAGAGACAGAAGGAGATGCAGAATCCGAAGCAGGCTCCAGGCTCCGAGCTGTCAGCACAGAGCCCGATGTGGGGCTCAAACCCACAGACCATGAGATCATGACCTGAGCTGAAGTCAGACGCTTAACCGACTGAGCCACCCAGGCGTCCCATTCATCTGACATTTTTTAAACTGCCTTATGAAGAGGCAAATCTTTAGAGACAGAAAACAGATGAGTGGTCAACCAGGGGTGGGAACAGGGAATAACTAAAAAAGCACGAGGGCTATTTCTGGGGTCATGAAATGTTATAAAACTGGATTATGGTGATGGTTACACATCTTGGTAAATTTATAAAAAAAAAAACCATTAAATTTTATACCTAAAATGGGTGAAAGTTTTATGGTATGTAAATTATACCTTAATAAAGTTGTACCCAAAAAATCTTGAGAAAGCTAGTACTATAATAAATGAAATAAAATCCTACTAAATCAGAGATAACTATTTCTTCTCTCATAATAAGTATAAGATTCAGAAGAACACTAACAATGAACAACAGAATTGTAACACGTACTCAATGAACAGTTAGAAACATGGAAAAATACTGGTGGTCTCTATATATACACATATATGTGAGGAGAATGGAGTGTACCAAAATGAAAAATTCGGAGCTGCATTCTTACCATGTGTGGTTTCTGAATAAATTTTCTAAAATTTGATTTTGTAAAACCTATAGGTTTTTGGAATTCATCAACATGAATATTCTTCAACCCTGAAAAACTGGAATGCTCATCATTCCTAATAAAATGAAAGAGAGAAAATAACGTTTTATTAGTTTACCTTTATCTAACAAATAAAAAAGAGAAATTAAATTGCCCCCTTCAGAGACAATCAAAGCAGCAAAACAGTTAAAAAGAAACAAAACAAGAAAACAAAACAAACCAAAAAAACACTCAAAGACTCCAAGATCTATCACTACTAAAATTACAAATGATAGTTATCAGGGCTAAAACCTTTATTTTTCAACAAACATTATTGAGCTAAGTTGAAAGTCAGCAATAGGGGGAAACAGTATTCCTTGGACCAAGGTTCTCACTCTGGGGTCCAAGGACAGGTGTCCTAAGGGTTGTCATCCCCTGAAACCATACGTAGAATGTGTTTTCTGAGGGACGATAACCACTGCTCTTGAGACTCTGGCAGGACTGGACGCCCCCTTCCTGATAGGCTCTTATTCATGAAAGCACCAGAGACAAAGAGTGTGACTGGCTCGGGTCCCCTATTGGCAGAGCTGAGACTTCTGACACTGCTGGGCCACAGAAGCGAAGGACAGCTCCCTTCTCCTGTCGTCACCATGTCCAGAGGCCACCAAAGCCTCTTCTCAGGCTGCCCGACCTGGGACGGAAGGTCCTTCCTTGGGATTGCCCTCTGACCCTGGGGCCTCATTTTCACAGCCCTCCGGCAGTCCTCTCCTTGTCACGTCCCACATCTCCCCACAGTGTTCCTCAGACGCTTCCTGCTCTGTGGTGAACAAACTGCTCACTGTCTCAGCCTGCTTCAATCCCTTCCATGGGCCCCCCCGCCCCCCACTGAACGTCAGGTTAAAATCCATACTCCTCATCATGATCTTCAAGGCCCTGCCTGCTGTGGCCCTTGCTATCTCACCAGCTGCTGTGTTCCGGTCTCCCCAACATGCACACCGAGCACGGGGAACATTTAGCGACCCACAGTTCCTAACACACCACCATCTCTCCTGCTCCCGCAAGTCTGCAGGAATAATTCCTTCCGTTGTAATTTCCTCCCACTTAGGTCAACTTCCAGATTTAGCTCCACCTGCACTGTTCCAGGAAGGTTTTTCCTGACCTCCTGAAGTGGACTAGTACCCCTGCTACGTGAACACGTAGCATTTGGGAGTCTTCCCACGTATCGCTCGTGTTTGCAAGTGCCTGTCTTATGCAGCAGGTTGTCATCCCTTAAAAGGAGACACTGTGGATGGGTCATTTTGTGGCCCCAGCTTGACGCCCAAACCTGACAGGGAACGGCCACTCAGGGTATTTTGAAATGTTACAAACTCTCATGTTCTGTCAAACTGCTCATGGTATGACAGTAAGTCAAAAGAGAAGGGTGCAAAGCTGAGATGATTTTTTAAAAAGGTTTATTATTTTGGGGGGCGCCTGGCTGGCTCAGTTGGTAGAGCATGCGACTCTCGGTGCCGGGGTCTCAAGCCTCACATGGGGCCTGAGCCAGCCAGGCACCCCGAGGATGATTTTAATTACTTAAAATAAACTACATATATGCCCAGAAAAAAGTAAATGACAGGAAATGTACTAAATATTAACAGTGGTCATCTCTGACTCATGAAATTAAGAATGCCTTATATTTTTATTTGTATACTTTATATTTCCAAATGTTTGCCACTGACGTGTACTATTAATTTTATTAAGAAAACAATGGACTTTAAAAAATCCTCTTTGCAAAGCATATATCTGATAATGGAGTAATGTCCAGAATATATAAAGGACTCTTTACATCTCAATAATAAAAATACAAGAATCCAATTTAAAATATGGGCAAAGGATTTGAATAGGTATTTCTCCAAAGAAGACACACAAAAAGCACATGAAAAGATGCTCAACATCATCAGCCACTAGGGAAATGCAAATCAAAACCACGATGAGATAACATTTTACAGCCACTAGGATGGCTATAATTGAAAAGATGACCCCACCAATGTTCGTAACGGCATTGTTCACAACAGACAAAAGATGGAAACAAACTAAATATCCATCAACAGAAAAATGGACAAATAAAATGGGGTACACACATACAGTGGAATGTCAGTCAGCCTTAAGAAGGAATGAGTTTTTTAAAAACGAAATTCTGACACATGATATGACATGGCTGAAAACATATTCCGAAGTGAAATAAGCCAGACACAAAAGGACAATTGTTGTATGACTCCACTTATATATATGAGGTACCTAGAACAGGCAAATTCACAGAGATGGAAAGAAGAGAGGTTATCAGGGGCTGGGAGTAGAAAGGATGGGGAGTTACTGTTTAGTTGGTACAGTTTCTGTTTGAGAAGATGAAAAGATTCTGGAAGTGGATAGTGTGGATGGTTACACAACACTGTCAATGAATGTACTTAATGCCAATGCATTCTACACTTAAAAATGCTTAAAATAATAACATTTATTATATGTATATTTTGCCACATTAAGAACATTTCAACCCTTTGATATCTGTTTTGTGACCAGGCAAATGAGTGTGCACGTTGAAGAAACTACTTCCCAGACTGCCTGCAGCAAGGCATGGCCATGGGACTAAATTTTGACCAATGGTGCTGAAGTGGCATGTGAAAATTCCAGGAGGTTTTTAAAGAAAAGGCGAGAAGACGGACATGACGGCTTGGGCACAAACACCCATTCTGGACCATGAGGCAGACGCCATGTGCAGAGGATATCTGAGGAGCAGGATCTAAGGAGGCTGGTTTCCTGATGGATCCACCCTACCTACCATGCTCTGACGTCCTGACTGGACTCTTTCTACATGAGAAAGAAATAATGTTTTCTCCTGCTCTTACAGTCCATTCTCTACCCAGCAACCGGGGTGAATCTTTTAAAATTTAAGTGAGATTATATTTCTTCTTGAGTTAGAACCCAAAATGTTTCATAATCTCACTCAAAGTAAAATACTGAGTCCTCACGTCCTCCAAAGTCCTCTGCAGTTCGGCCTCATCTACTTACTCTCTTCTTTTCCCACCGTGTTATAACCTCATTGGCCTGCTTTCTGTTTTGTTTGTTTGTTTGTTTGTTTGTTTGTTTGCTTTCTATTCCTTAAACAAGAGTAAGCGTGATCCTGCCTGAGGCTCTTTGCCTTTGTTGCTCCCTCCTTAAAATACTATCCTCTCAAAAAACCTTACTAATTCCCTAACTCCTTCACTTAATTCACATCCCTGCTCAATTAAAAAAAGAAATCCTACGTGCATTCCATAACCACCCTAGATAAAATCACACCACACGTATCACTCTGTCCTATTAAATTTCTTCTTCTGCCTTATTTTCACCTTTCACTCGTCAACATGTAGGTATTTATTTTTCCTACCGTTAAACTGTAAGCTTGACAAGGACAAGGACTTTGTGTATACCTCTTCACTGTATGTTTTCTGTACGCCGTGTAGCTAAAAGGAAAATCTCCGCAGCCTGACGTCCCCTCAAAGTCTATCGATTCTATTTTGAAGCTGCTTTATCCCACACACACCATGCCAATGTATGCACATTGCAGCACAACACCTTGGTAGCACTGTATGGAACTTAGGAATGCTGGTTACAAGAGGGAGAAATAGTGGGTCAGGAGAAGACATGGAGATGTTAGAGTAAGAGATTGGTCAGAAGTAGGGAGAAAAAAAAAGAGAACACGGTCTTCGAGACGAGACAGAATGTCCTAGTGTTAGGCTTGCTTGGGAAAGATTACCTAAGGTATTAGGGAATAAATAGCAATCAAGGTTTAAATGTGTCACAGTGTAAGTATCCTCTGTCCTATCTACTTCTTTGCAAAGTCTTCACTCATTCAACAGCTCTGAGTTGAGTTCAAGGCAGTGGGGATACAGTGGTGAGGAAACACAGACACAGAGTCTGCATATAACTGTTTGAGGGGCAAAAAGATCACACAGGTGGGAAATTGCTACATCTTGTGCTTCATGATTTCATATTTCATTTCTTCTGAATTTCTACACAAATCTAAACACTGAGATGCCTAAAACGATTTCTGCAAAAATATTAATGAGGTCAACTTCAAAGACTGAATTTCTAAGACAAAAGGATAAACTCAAATGCTTTTTCTTATTTTAAGAATGAAATCGAATTAGGATAAAGTTAAAGGTTCTAAATCATTTTTTTCTCAGTCACTCCTTTCAAGAAAGATGAACAATAAATAACAAGTGCTGGTGAGGATGTGAAGAAACTAGAACCCTCATACACTGCTGGTGAAGATGTAAAATGAGGCAGCCATTGTGGAACACAATGGTAGTTCATCAAAAAGTTACACACAGAGTTATCATATGACTCAACAATTCCAATCCTAAGTATATCTACCCAAGAGATGTGAAAACATAGGTCTGCACAAAAACCTGCACGTGAACGTTCACAGCCTCATAATTCACCACAGCCAAAAAGTGGAAAAGAACCCAAATGTCCAGCCCCCGGTGAATGGATCAACAAAACGCGGTTATCCATACATACAATGGACTATCACTTGGCCATAAAAGGAATATTCATGCTATGACATGCAGGAGTGCTGCAAACAACACGCTACATGAAAGAAGTCAGTCACGAAAGGCCTCACATTATATGACTGCATTTATATGAAACATCAAGAAAAGGACAATCCACAGAGACAGAAAGTGGCTGCCAGGGGCGAGGGGGGAGGAGAAATAGGGAATGACAACTAATGCTTACAGGGCTTCTTGGAGTGATGAAAATGTTTTGGAATTAGACAGTGGTGACAACTGCAGAGCTTCGTGAATATACTAAAAACTACTAAATTTTTTACTTTCAAAGGGTGAATGTTATGGCAAGTAATAGCTCAATTAAAAAAAAACAAACCCTCACGGCTCCCCTATGCCGCACCAGCCATCCAATAAAAATAAAATATTCCAACACAGCCAGCAAAAGACATTCTGCAGAAAGACATCTTGGCATGCTCTACATAGCCTCCAAAGCCAACATCATAACACTTAATGCTGATGAGCTACTCTGCACCTCACACCCGTCGCTTTAGTTAATCTTCACCACCGCCGTGAGGTAAGTGTAATTCTCACCTCTAGTTTACATATGAGGAAACAAAGGTTAAATAACTTGCCTAAGATCAGTCACATAGCTAGGTGTCTACAGAGCCAGGTGTTGAATTTAGGTGTAACTCCAGTGCTCGAGCCCTTTCTCATCTCAAAGGGGGAAGATATATTCTAAAGCATTAAAGCACGGTTTTTATAAAATGCTGATTATCTTAAATCTGTTTTTAAAATCCTCTTTCCTGGCACACTGAGTTTCTTACACTTGCTGAGTCAAGACAAGCATGACAGGAGCTTGTGTCACTAAAGAGCACAGTCATACCGTGTCATATTAAGAAACTGGAGACTTTCACCTAGCCAGGGACGAGATTTTAATGATTTTATTTTCAGTTGTTTTATATGCCCCAACACACAGTTTGCTATCTTTTAATTAGTCCCAAACTTATTGTCAGCATAACGTCCAGTTTTAAACAAGCTCCATGTATTCTGACTAAGACCAAGTTAGCCACAGACTTGACGTAAAAGTCTAGTCAATTTGACACTAAGAAATATGGAAAGGGAATTAGCACTGGCCCTTCCAATTCATACATTCCTACTTTCTAAGAGATCCAAACGGTTTGAAGACCCTTGGGTGAACTGGAAATTCTGTCCTCTTCAATTATACCTCATAATCATATGGGGTCCCAGGGTTGCCACGAATTCCACATAGTTTTTAGAACTAGACATAAACTGGGGTCAATCTAAAAATACTCAGAGCCCCCAAAAAAGTACAGAGTTGGGAAAGAAAAACAACAATGTACTGACAATCAATTTGCCATACATGGCATAAGTACTTCGCATGTGGCAGTTCATTTAATATTTCTAACCTGTCCACATCATAAATTAGTTCTTCTCATTTTATAGAGGAGAAGGCTCCAGAAACTAAGCCAGTTTGCCTATGAGCATGCAGCTTGTCAAATGGCAGAGGTGGGATTCCAACTCCTATCTCCTCTATTTTCTAATACCCCTGCCTCTGCTTCATGGACAGACATCCACGAAGAGTTCTAAAAGAGAATTGTACTGACCTCAGGAAATTCTGTAATATTCGGAGAGTACCAGAATCTAAAGGGCAGAATGTGTCAGAGTTTCAAAGAGATTGAGCCAAACAGTCCATAAACTGTTACATGCAAGTCCATAAACTTGCAGGTCCTGGTGCCTGCTAATATTCAAAGAGCCATTACACTCTTTCCTAGAATTACAAAGACCTCATATACTCACCTACCCCTTAGTTTTTGTCGTTTCAGTCAAACAGAATACGATGATCACTGAATAGCTTTGAAACATTTTAATAGATTTCACTTAAACATATAAAATAGATTTGAAGGATCAAATCCCTACACTAAAATGAAAATCATCACACACAAAAATTGAAAAATATGCTAAAACCAAAAGCTCCCTGATAATAGGATGTTTTTCATCTACTGATTACCTCTCTGCAGCACTAGCTATGTGAAAAATGTGCTCATCTTCATTCTGTAACCGTTCTTTTCTCCTTCTTTCAATGTCATGTCGTAGGTCATTTGGGTCTATTATTTTGACCAGAGTCTGAGGAATTTTGACAGAAGACAAACCATTCACATTACTGTTAGTTGCACAAAGACCGTATCTAATAAGAACCTTAAGTAAAAGTCCTAAATAAGTTACCTTATATTCATCCTAATGGTAGTGTAAATTGATTAAAATATTTTGAGACACAATTGACAATGCACAGACAGAAAAGTTCATAACAATGAACCAGGAATCCCACTTCTGGGGGTCTATCCCAAAGAAAAGGCTATCTACCCAAATATATCCAAAGTGCTATATTAAAAATCATCAAAAAATAAGAGCAACTTAAATGTAAAATAAATTTAAAGGAGAAGGGGAGAATGATTTTATGGTAAATTTAAGTCAAAGTAATAATGTACAAGCATTTGAATTATGGTTAATGTAGACTATGTGGAAGTCAACGTGAAAAAAACCCACAATTACTGAGAAAAGTTAATTAAAACTTAAAAAGCCTCAATCATAAAAAGTCATGGGGGAGCTCAGAGATTTTACATAAAAGCAGTATTATTAAGTAAAAAGAAGAGCCTCTAAAACTACATTTCTTATGATAGTGGCTACGTTAAAATGCCAGATGTAAGACTACAAGAAAAGATGATCAAATGATATTTTGTGTTAAGTGGTTGAATTAGAGGTGATTTTTCAAATTTCCTATGGGTTGATTACAGTATTTTGATGAATAGAAATTTTCTGAAAATAGCATTTATTCAATAAATGCTATCTCTATAAGTTCAATAAAAACTGTAACCATTCACAAGTGAAAAAAATTACATATTCTATCAGAAGTGTATTAAAATCCTTCCTCTACAAAAACATTTTACTCTCAATGAATAAATTAGCAATTCTTTTAGAACTTGATATACTTCTAAAATGAGAGCCAGTTTTCTTCCCCTCCCCCCCAACTAGTTAAGAGAGTTTTTCTAATTAGTAAAGAAATGGGGGGCGGGGTGGGTTGAGGAAATGTTGGGTAGAAATTCAATGTGTGGCAATAAAAAAAATCAGTATTACTTCCATTATTTCACTAGTTCATATTCCACAGAATTTTTCATACATTCTACAGTAAGCAGAAGGTCAATATCAAATGAAAGTAAGTTCCTCTGCATTCATTCCACATACAATTTAAAAAAAATACTCCACGTGACTGCTTTGGAAAAAATGTAGGTATCAAATATACTTTCCACAAGCCTTATAGTGTTTTTTTTTTTACTCCCAATTACCAGTTGCCTTTTCCATCAATATGCCAACAATAGGATAGTCTTTCATCAAAAATTGTATTCACTTACCTGTTCTGATTCATATACCATTGTTTGTTTATTCTGAAGCTCAGCCAAAGACATATCTATTCTCCTAAAATAACAAAGGCATATTACAATTAAATAATCATGTTTATACACTGATACCTTGATTCCATTACTACCGAATGGAATTTGAAATAAAACTGGTATGTCCTGGAGGATGCAAAAGAAACGTGCTACCAGGTGGCTTTTCATGTACATGTCAGTCTCCCAGGACATACATATCCTGTGAACAACATCACAGTGATGCCTTAGCGGTTCTCAAATCACTAGCCTGGGTAACCTTAAACTTTGCTCCGGTGATCTACTTCATTCTAACATTGATTCAGCTCAGCTTGCAAGACAGGGCACACCACCTGCTCAGACAGGTGCCAGCAGAAGAAGGCATAGGTTTTCATCCAGCTGCCCTCAGAACAGCCATTTCTGACCACATGAAGCAACCCATGATTTCAATGGCTCGACAATTGTCTTTCATTCTTCCAGTGATAACTTCTGTAGGCAATTACTATAGACACAGCAGAATCAAAGTTAGGTAGGTAAAGATTGTCAAAGTCCTCCACATTTAGACACTGCTAATCAATGGCTTTAATACAACCTATTCCATCCAAGTGCACTGACCCAGTACCTGCCTGGGTCAGTCCTGCTTTTGGGTAGGAAATGCTGTCTTAGAGTCTAAAGCAAGCCCAGAAGGCGGCACCTTCCCAAATATGTTCTGAGGCATATTCCGATGAGTTAAATGGGCATACAATAATCAATCATTACCTGTGAATTTCTGGATCTGAATTCGATTTAACTTCATTTACATCTGCAGCGTGTGTATCTCGCATTTTTGAAAAACGCTCATGTAAAGTAATGTCAGGTGATGGAAAATAATTTGCTGAAAAAGGAAACAAATAGTTTTATCTCAGTGTAAAACTGATTCCGCTTAAAAGATTACATATAAGCACAGGAAGAAGGGACTGTTAAAAAACGTCCAACCTGTTTTCTCTTGAAAATATGTGGGACCCAAACTTATTCCACAGACTAATTTGTAGCTCTCACATGGTTTCCCAAGTCTAAGCAACAGGAAAAAAGGCCTGACTTATGAACCTAAGGATTCTGTTCCTATTGGACATGTCTGCCGATTTGCTGGGGGGAAAAGATAGTGTGGCTCTCTCAAAGTGAGAACCTTCCTTCTCCCAGATAAGACCTTACTCTGCTGGGAAGTAAAGACGGTACAGAGTTTTATAGTTGGCCTAGAGTAAAAAATAACTCAAGAACAACCCTGAAACATCAGAAAATTCTGAACAAATGCTAAACGTTGTTTACATATCCCAGAAAGAGTCCTACTGCCATTCTACTTTAATTAACATTAACTGAAGTTCATGAAGACATTCTGAAATCAGCTATGCTACACGGCTTTTAACAGGATAGAGAGAAAGAGAATACACTTAACCCATCAGAATGGTATTTAAGCAAACCTTTTCCCTAACTTACTGTTCCTGTTCTGGGACAATCTCCTGGATTTTTCTGCAATACCAGCTCCCTTTCTGCCAAGAATCATACTTCCTTTGGGTGAGAGGGGCTGGAACTGAGAAGGTGAACTGTTTCAGACAAAACGCATGCTTCAAAGTAAATATATGCCTTAGTTTGAGGGATGCAGAGAAAATAATTCATTTTCAAAACATGTTTCATGAAGGTAAAAAAAAATCAATGCAATTGTCCAGTAAGAAATAGAAAATAAAAATTTTGAAATTCTTGAAGGTCTCCAGTTTATTATTCCCATGCCTGCTTTATTATGCAGCATCAATGAAGTAAGTTGTTCCACCTGACTGAAATTTTCAATTAATGGAAATTGGCCAGAAGCTAAAACAAAACAATTTACTGCAGATATTCAAAGTATTTATTATGCAAATCCTTGATGTCATCAAGTATGCCAAATCGAACTGGAATCTTTTATCAATCACTTCACATTCATCCTTATGGCACAAAGTCCTAATAATGCCCTCAGGGGGCTTTAAGAACATCACCAAAAGACCTAGACTTCCAGAGTTCTTGAGTTTGTCAAGTTTCATATGTGGTGTTTATTGCTTCCTCCTTCTTGTTTGGTTTTCAGTTAATGTTTCTTGCTGCTGTCAGTAGGCCTGTCTCTTGCAGCAGCTAACGTCTCCCTTTCAGTTTGTAATCTACTATGAGTGAAAGTACCAGGTTATTGGAACAACACATGAAGAACTAGGCTTGAATTAATACCTTACACTCTCTACAACAGAGTTCCTTAATAATGATCAAATTTATAATGAAATATTAATTACTCTTACTATATCACAGATATTTACCTATACCTTGTGAAAAGCCAGTACATTATTTTTGTGTTATCCCTAATGTATGTGCAAGATATACCAACCTTTAACTTGATGGATTATAGTTATGATTTCCTGAGCAAATTCTCCTGTAGGTTTGTTTTCAGTATTCTGAGTTGAGTCAAGATGTTCAAACACTGGATGAAAGTTCTCACTTTTCCTGCCAACAGCAACCAAATCATGTGACATCTGTCTCTCTGTGGAATAGCTAGAAGCAACCCTAGAATAATTTGTAAATGTTTAACTAAATTTGAAACTATTTTACTGAGAAAAAAACTTATTAAAAATTAATCAAGATAGCTATAAAACTAAAAGGATGTTTATCTTTTCTTATAATTAAGGCATTAAACTGTATGCCATAAAACATGTGCAATAATGCGCAGGAGAAAATAGCTACAGATGCATGAGTTTGAGTTCTCCTTTTCAATCAGAGATCATTAAATATTTGCCACTTTAATAATAAAATCCTCAACATTCTAAGTTAAACAATTTTTACCTAAAAAAATACAGCAAGGCATCAAAGGTCAATGTGCAAAAAAATAATCAATTAGATTATTTTCTACTCCCAAATGTCTATAAAATTATAAATCCAGCAAGCTTATACTATCTTGAAGTTCTACCACACTTTAAAAGCTGCTATTAAACATAATAACTTCTTTGCCTTCATAAAAATTCTTATAGCTCTGTATCAGTCATGAGAAACTTGGTATTTTGAAATCAAATTCTGTTGAGATGAATCAATTACAAAATCTCACTAAACTGGCAGCAAATAATCTTAGTTGTTAGCAAAGTTATGATCATTAGAACCGATTACAGTGTTCACCCTAAATGTATCCTTAAAGAAATGCTACCATTTATTATATAACCTCAGCTATGTTACCCTTTAATGCTTTCTGAATCTTTGTAACTTGTATTACAAGCTCTCTTGGCCTTTAGGCATCATTATCAAGTCATGATTATGACATACAGCTAACAATTATTGAGGGCTCACTGCAAGCCACACACAGGGGCTCAGAACTTGTTTGCGAACATTATCTGATTTAATCTTTACAATAGCCCTATGGGGAAGGCGCTATGACATTGAGACAACGGATGTCTTGGTTGTTTTGGTTTACATCCCAGAGGCTGAGTATTCCTAGGAACATAATCCTTCCAAGTGTCATAATGGGAAACAATTCCAAAAAAGCTGCTCTCACTTAAAACTACTCTTAAATTCTTTGCCTGGAGGCAGATTATATGTCACAGAAGAAAATGTCTCATTATTTTATATTTATACCTCATTTTGGACTCAAAATGGCACTAATTAGCTTACACCCATCTTACTCCTCTGCATTTAACTCTAAATAGCTTTTGCCTCTTTCCAAAAATCATATTCACTACCCAAAGAGTTGAGATTTACAAGTGCTGGGGTTATTTATGAGTATGTTATATAGGCTATGAAGATAAACCCGAAAGAGAGCCCTGAAATATGTTTTAAATAATAGCAGCACCACTGAATAAATGATACCTCCTCATATAACAAATATCAATCCGATGGATACATGTTGGGATGTGGGTGTATGCATGCACGGATTTACTTATTTAAGTCACTTAACAGCCATATATATAAAACCGCTCCAGGGTAATCAGGGGCTTACAGATATTCTTCAAATTTTTTAACTTCTCTCATAAGATGGTTTAAATGCCTATTTTTAACTTATCAGAGGCAAGGCTTCCATATGACCTATGCTCCCTGCTTTCAAACCAGCACTGTCGAGACAACTCCCTGCCAAAGCAGAACCCCAGAAAAGTGATTATGCAGCAGGCTGATGCCACTGTTAAGGTTTCCTTGATTCATCAGAAGGACTTTCATTAGAAGAGCCATTTCTCTTCTTTCCTCCTAATTTGCTCCAAGCTTCCCACTGGGTATCTGATAACAAGCTAAGAGACATTAGTGATAAACACTGGAAGCTAGAATGGCCCTATAACAACCTCTACTAGCAAAGAATTACAAATGCTGTGTTTCACGGTACAAAAAGCCTGTTCCATACCCCCCCAAAATTGCTTTTAAAAACATTTTACAGGAGAGGGGCGCCTGGGTGGCTCAGTGGGTTAAGAGTCCAACTTCGGCTCAGGTCATGATCTCACTGTCTGTGAGTTCAAGCCTGCGTCAGACTCTGTGCTGACAGCTCGGAACCTGGAGCCTGCTTCGGATTCTGTGTCTCCTTCACTCTCTGCCCCTCCCCAACCCACACTCTGTGTATCTCAAAAATAAATAAACATTGAAAAAAAATTTTTTAAATAAAACACTTTACAGGCGAAAAGTAAGATGTTCAAATAGAACTATAAAAATGGTCTGTCCATAAGGGGAAATCAATTGATCACATTTTGTATTGCAGACTCAGTTTCTCCCATGAGGAAACTAGTTGATAACGGTTTCCAGTTTTCCACCAAGTAATTATTAAAATTTACTTGATGGGGCACGTGGATGGCTCAGTCAGTTAAGTGTGTAACTTCGGCTCAGGTCATGATCTCCTGGTTTGTGAGTTTGAGCCCCGCGTTGGGCTCTGTGCTGACAGTTCAGAGCCTGGAGCCTGCTTTGGATTCTGTCTCCCTCCCTCTCTCTGCCCCACTCCCATTCTCTCTCTCAAAAATAAATAAAAAACATTAAAAATAAAATAAAATTTACTTGTAACTTATTATAAGTTAATTACTGGTATAATTCCATGCCCAACTCTCAATCCCTAGAAGTGCTATGGTATACTTTACAGCTATATTTAATTCCTGAAATTTTAGTGTTTACATTTGCTATTAATTTATCCTGCAAGATTTTTAACTAAAAAATGTTAAAATTGTCATTTCCTAGGAAATATTAAAACTGAAATTTTACTCTTAAAAACAATTACAGTTTTTGCTATAAGAAAAGGCTTCCCGGGGCGCCTGGGTGGCGCAGTCGGTTAAGCGTCCGACTTCAGCCAGGTCACGATCTCGCGGTCCGTGAGTTCAAGCCCCGCGTCAGGCTCTGGGCTGATGGCTCGGAGCCTGGAGCCTGTTTCCGATTCTGTGTCTCCCTCTCTCTCTGCCCCTCCCCCGTTCATGCTCTG